TTAAGGTACTGAACAGGGATTAAAGAAATTTCGGTTCCTTTCCCTGGCTCTGCCAGAGACTTTTGTGACCGTGTACAAGTTACTTATTATTTTCATGCCTCTATTCTTGATCTGTGAAATCGTGATTATTTTTTTTTTCCCTTTTTTTTCCTTCCCCCCAGCCCTAGATGCTTTCTTGCTGTCTTTTTTGCACTTTATCTTCCAGGTTTGTTGCTTGAGTTCTAGAGACAGGAGGCCATATCACTTGCTTAGGGATAGAAAACTGCTGCCTGATGTAGGTGATTCAGAAATCAGGGCATGCAGTGGCTTGAATTAGCCGTGTAAACACTTGGAAAGATGGCTTGCTCTATTACAGTGGAGTAGTTTCATTATTTGTGAATATGAGGATGTGTCATTTTACTTGGTCTAACATGAAAATGCCAGGTATCCCGATAAACTGAAAATCTTTGAAAGGAGAAGCGAAAACGTTGCTATGTGATGTAAATTACAAATTTTATTACGTTCATCTTTTATTTGAAGGTGTGTTTGTGCAAAGTTTGTCAGCTCCTGTAATGGTGTTAGATATTACCATCTGAAATAATGTGCAAAGAGGTGTCGTTGCTTTCACTGAATCTAACAGTATCTGAGCTGGTTTTCTTACAATATTTTAATGCAAATAAATATTTTTCTTTATTTTTTTATCTGAGGACATTATGGATGTTATAGAATGGATTACAGCTTAGTGCATTGCATTATAACGATACATGTATTACTGTTATATAACCTAGAGAGGAACATGCAAAAAAGTCTGAACTTGGGCTGATAATGGAAATGGACAGCGACAGGTAACAGCGACTATTTGGACAGTACAGTCTGCATTGCTACGTACGTGGGTTTTAAATGCTTTTCAGTTTGTCAGAACTGATGGTCTCTTTTCGAACGGTGTCTTAGTTTAGTTTTCTTCAGAAGTGTGGTCAAATCTCTGAGCATGTGATTTCTTTGTTCCTGAGCAGCATCTTGAAATGCTAATAAAGCCGTGGTATCATTTGCTTAATGCAGAGTGTTTGATCCATGCTTTCTTGATTCCATTATGACCGAGGCAGATGCAAAGAGCTTTCCTGTGCTTAACGTATGTAGTGGTTATGCGGAGGTTATTTGTCGTTACAATTGCAGGCTGAATGAGCCAATGTCCTATCAGGTGTCTGTCACCAATTTCAGATTTTCTTTATGGAATCCTGCTGACTGACTTCTTCAACTGCGATGAGCTAATCTTTCCTCGACATTGTAATCACAATTCTTGAAAGGCCTGCAGAACAGTTGCTTGCCTTTGCTGCTGTTGTATCTGACACTGACACCTGTACCCAGATCAGTAGGCTCATTCCCCTTAGTTTCATTATAATTCTGGATGGAATTAAGGATGATGATTCCTAGAATATCCCTACAGGCTTTAGTTTGTCATTTGCCACGTAGCCAATTTGAGTAAAGGATGTGGTTATTTGCAACATCTAGGTAGTAATAAAACAGTATTACATGAATCTCTTGCAGTCATCGTTCTTGCCGTGTGTTTGGGGTTTTGCTGCGCGGTACAGTGACACTAGACTTTTACAGCTGGTAGACTGTCAGATTGTCGTCTTGTTCTGCACCTTTAAATTCCACCCACACTTTTTCATTTTGTGGCTGGTTTACAGAGCAGCTCTAATGGCTTGTGTATTTATTAGACAGGCTTTGAAAGAGCACCTACATGGTTTAAAGGCATGCATACAGCAGCACAAAATTCATTACCCTGCACCACATGCTGACCATCATAATGCAGGAGCGATTAAGTGTGTCTTCCGTGGCGTAACTTTTAGGGTTGTCTCAACAAAGTCTTCAGCTTTGGGTTGTTGGGTTTTGGGGAAGTTAACCCTTAGAATCAAATTTTGTGAAACAAGAGCCTCTCACTGCTGACCTAATTTGAACCCTGTCTTTGTCGTCTTGATGTTTTCTGCAGCAGTCGCTCGCTGGCTTTGAAGCCCCCTTCTCCAGATGCACACTTTGCTGGCTCGTGTCCCGCAGGAGAGGGAATAGTTAGACTTCCTGGAGTTAGCTTAGCACCTGCATGTCTTTCCAGAAGAATCATTTGCGTTCACCTCTGTCCCTTCCTCCAAGTCCCTCTCTAATCTATACTGGCTTCTGTCCTTCGTTTTTAATCCTTTATATTGCCTGTGAAATGTGTTGCCCTAACCAGTTAGTGGGCCTGTCTGCAGGTATGGTGAGTTGGACAACTCACATGTGATACTTCTCTCTCTGACAATGCCTGTCTGCACAAGATCCTGTACCCTCTTCCAAAAGACAGTTCTTCTTTCTGAGGAAAAGTGATTTCCTTCGAAGATGGAAGATCATGGTGAAATTTTTTCACAGTAGAGCTAAACAAAATCAAGCTTTATCTTACAGTTTGCATTATAGTTCCTTCAAGTATAACAGCAGATTTCATGGAAGTCTAGAACTGTCTGAAATAAGTCCTAGACTCCTTTCACTATTCACTTGCTGAATTTAGAAGTTTTAAACTTTATTTTAGAAGGTGACAGAATTCCAATTTAAAAATAGGGCTGAAACTTTTCAGCTTTTTAAGGGGTCATGAGATAGCAGCTCTGCCCTGATGAACTTTATTATGCCATATGAATATAAAATACTCGTATAAAGGCAGATCTGCAAAGGCATAAAGGCACCTATTTTTTCAGTGCAACTCTGAGTCTTAAGTCAATCTTATATTTTAAAGTTACTTATTTGTGTTACTATTGCAGATTAAATGTCTGTGATATGTAAAATAATTTTGTGATCCAATCTTGAAATATTTATGAATTATGTAATATTACACATGAAGTTAATTTCATTATAGAATCATATCATCCACACATTCAGAGTATTTGCAATGCCATGTCGTAGTCTCTGTTATGCATTTATTGTTGATGAATCAAGGCCCAGATTCTAATTGTTGGAAGCAGCAAGTTTAGGTGCTGATGGGTTTATCAGGACAAGTTATTATAAATATTTTACACATGAGCAAGACCACTCGTTTGACAAAATACCTGCAGCTTGTAGCACATCCCCTCATGTATAATATCATGTGTCAGTAAAAGCAGAGCCGATTAGCTTTATAATTTACCGTTAACTATATCTGTCGAGAAAATGGTCTTATTGTCCAGCCTGTCTCTTTGTAATAAGCTACGGATGGGGGTTAGCAACAGTGGGCTCACCCGCCTGCAGGTCAGCGAGGATGGAAGGTGCTAATGCATTCTAAGCTGAAAAGCTCACGCTTAACCTTGATGATTAAAGTTTTTCTTATCATCCAGCAGCAGTTGAGCCTGAATTGTCTCTTAAGGAGTCAAAAGGTCTAATCAACCTAATGAACAAACTCAATCATTAGCACTTTGGGGAAGGAACTGTCTTAACACTGTAATAATACTGGGCTCCCCCAGCTGCAAAATGTCTGCTTCTAGGCGTGGGGCGTAGCTCGGCTCTAAGACCAGAAGCTGGTGTCGTTTGCTTGATGTACGGTGGATTAGAGGAAGCTTCTGTTTGGCGGCACGTAGCTCTTTCCACAGCCTTTGTACTCTTCTCTGGCCATGGGATCAATTTTGAATTCTTGTAGATTGTAGAAAGGGTTGCGTGTTTCCTTTATTATGTTTTGTATGTGAGGATAAGGGAAAGCTAAACCTTCCGCTGGTGAGCTTGTTTCGTCATGGACTCATCTACACTTTTCTTCATGTATTCCTCCCAGCTCTTTTCACACCACACATTGTACCTGTGCCAGAGAGATATTCTTCAGGCATCTTTTGTTACGTTCCGGTAGCCGATTTTGATGGGAAAGCCTTTTTCACGTGGGCCAAGCAGACGTTAGCCCTGTTGTTTGTTGTACTGGGGACTGGGCCATGCTTGGAGAGAGGCTGCCGCTACAGCTTCTCTGGTAACAGAGGCGTTTGCAGTCTCCTAAGACATTCTGCCGTGAGTGCGTGATGAGCTGTTAGTCATTTAAATGCATTAAACCCTTTCAGACAGTCCATACCTTGATTTTTGAGACAGCACCTTGGTTGTGGCGGTAGCAGTTGTGTCCTGGTGACTATCACCAGCGTCTACTGCACCAGCCAGGCCTGCTTTTCCAGATGTTTTTCCTTTGCTCAATGTGAAATGAAGCGTCTTACGATGAGAGCAAGACATTTTAGACAAGATTGATAAAATAAAAAGCTCTCAGAAATCGAGTGGTACCACCCTCTTATAGGGGATGCTTTGAGGTTTTTTGCTGTCTAATGTTGATTTTGAACACCCAGCAGATGAAGAGCCCATATATATTTTAATATGAATACGACAAAGCCTCCATATTAATTACACATCAGTATAATTTTATCATTCTTTGTTACTTTCTTGGGTTTAATTCAGTAATATATTTGCTTGCTACATTGTTTGTAGATTTAATTGTGGAGGAAATTTGTGCCCTGGTGGCAGATGCACAGCAGACTTCAGCATTAACATAACTCATTAAAATAAGATAAAAGTAGAGCTGCAAAACAATTTCTGTCTTTTGCCAACAAGGTTGTGAAAAAGGAAAATTTCACTCATTCCATATATGAAAGTCTAATCTTTCTGAACTGTGGAGAGAACAGAGTAGTCACTCCTGACTTGCCTGTGCGGGTTGACTGGCTGGGGCTGCTGAGGCAGATAAGCAGAACGTGCCAAATCCAGATGACAGTGTGTCATATTTTGGGGACATTAAGTAAAATTACCTTTTTGGATGATGGAAGTTCCTTCACCAGCATTGGCAAAACGTGCATAAGGCAAATGTGTTTTGTCTGATGACACGCAGTTTGCCAGTTTCCAGCCTGTTTCTCAGTCAGGATTGAAACCTGGAAGTAAACCACAATGTACTGGGTTATGTGAGGCCTGTTCTATTTATTTGGTTTGGAAGGGAAGCAGATAAAACAGACAGTGGATTCAAACTGATTCAGACAAAGCTTTTTTAGTGTTTAATGCTCTGAACTCCACAGGGTGAACCCATCACTTTCTGTGAAGAAACATTTGTGTCCCATCGCTCTGCTGTCATGAGGCAGTTTCTTCAGAATGCCATCCAGCTCCAGCTCTTTAAGCAGGTACTGGCTTAATTGCTTTAGTGTAGAAGCAGGTTCTTTAACAATACAACTGGGGTTTGTTTTGAGGGCTGTTCCTATATTCCTTGATCTGTCAGCCACATAATGAAGAAAATTCGTGTAGTCGGCAGCACCTTAAGTCCTACTTGCTGGCTTTTCGTAGATTCAGGTGATAGGGCTTTCTGTATTTTAAGAGGTCTATGTTTTTTTCCATCTAAAGATCTCTGATCGGAGCATACCTAGACCAGATATAATTGCTGTAAACCTTGTACAGAAGGCGTATTACTGTTAAACGTGGTATTACTGCTTTGGGGAAGCTGAAAATACATATGTGTAGGCAAACACATGAGTGCTGTTTTTAGGGAAGCAGCACACCGTTTTGCACTGATAAACATTTGCCAGATTGGGTTGTATTTTCATTCTCTCTGTCTCTTCCCAACAAGAACACTGGGGTTATACTGGCAGATGTAGCATGTAGCATCACGTCTCTCTGAAAGACAAAGGATGGGCTGGTTAACTTGTTTGCACTCTCTTTTAACACTGATGTAGTTCATCGATGGCCGGCTGGATCTTCTGAATTCTGGTGAGGGCTTCAGTGATGTTTTTGAAGAAGAGATAAATATGGGAGAATATGCAGGTAAGAAATGCAATATTTTAAAGTAGATTCAGATGCTGTTCTTGCCGCACAGTTTGTAGGCCATCGTGATGTACTGGGGTTTTTGTGGATACTCACCTAAATAACTGTGGCTGCAATGAGTCCCGTGGGTTGAAACATCTTAAATTCTTGTGCGTCAAGAACTTGAGTAATGTGTTGTAGTTTGAATAAAGTCTGTTCAGTCTTAGGAAACCTCAGTTTTACTTGTCTGAAGTACAGCTTCAACAGTTCTAGTAATGGAGGACACTGAAAAGCCTTGGCTTTACCCAGAACCACGTCAGATTTCTTTTAGCAATCTTAAAAAAATAATCTGTTTTTTCAAATGTCTAAAATGCTACCCTGATTAAATTGTAAATAGTGCATCAATTCTTTGTTGTTGGGTTTCCATTAAAAAAAAGGATGGCTGTCCGGTTCTGTTTCTGTGCTGTTCGTGCTCCTAGAACCAGTAAGCGCTAATGCTTTGCATCTCTGGCTTGTTTTCTGTTTGGTGGAGAATTACAGTTTGGTTTTTTTGTGATTCTCTGTAGGTAGCGACAAATTGTATCACCAGTGGCTCTCTACAGTAAGGGTAAGAACGCGATATTCTTCCAGCGGACATTCTCACTCTTACTGGACCTTTGTACCGTTCTGTGTGGCTGTTAACCTCTGTCCCCAGGAACGCGACTAACCTGTTTCCTGCAGTGTTTAGCTGTGACCAACTCGAGTTTAGCTGTGAGAAACTGATGTGCTCTTCAGATGAGGGTAAAGGACATCAAAAAAACATATATTGGGTGGAAAAAAACACCATAGAAATTCTCAGGGTTTTGAATCCTACTTTTAATGTCTTAGAGACAACTTTCATTTTAGAAAACAATGTGATTTTTCTTTCCATTTAAGAGAAAAGGAAAGAAAATGGAAAGTGGCCACACCAAAAAGCTCTTGACACAGCTCAATGATGTCAAGTGCTGAATAGGGATGGCTTTTGTTTCTCTTTCATTTATTGCTCTAGTTGTTTAAATTAATTATTCCAATACTTTTAGAGAATGATACGTTATTATAGCTCATAATTCACTGCTGATTTTAAAATTCTCTGTTGATGCATAAAATGCAATGTATTGAAAAGCAAAATATTTCTTTTTTGTGGGTACAAGTCAGTAGGAAAGATTGTTTTCTGCCAGAACTGAGTTTTGAAGCATTCTGTTTGCCTATTGCATTGGTTAGGAGTGGAATTATGTTCCTTACACAAAATGCCGGGCTCAGTATTACCCTGATAATATTAAGCATGTTTTATAACAATCATGCAGAAAAATCCTAGGTAGGATATATATGCAAATATATATAAATATGTAGGATGGCAAATAATTTTAAAATTATAAGAAAGGGGACTGGGTGAGTGAATATAAAAATATGTGTAATTAAACTCAGCAGTTTGTAATATTTTATTGAAGATTGTCATGCAATAACAGAAGTATTAAAACTAAAAGCAGTTTGAATCTGACTGCATCTGATCTCTGGAAATGCAGCTTTGCGCTGAAATAAGAAAATATAAAATTACCTCCGGATTTTATTCCTTGGCTTTTATGCGTCCCCTGTATTTCCCAAGCAGGGAGCTGCACAGCGCTAGCCAGTGGGGTGTGCAAGGCGGGTGACACCGACCGGCCTAACAGATTGCTCTGTCTGACATATTACTGTCTTAGGACTTCTATTACGTTCACCACATGCAATTCAGCTTTTCTAGAACTAATGTTTATGTCTGTAGTTAGATTTCATTTTCCCTCAACTTATCTCTCTATCAGCTACTTTGATCTTAAAAAGGCAGCGTGCTTTTGGTAAAAGGTGGTGTGAGATCCGGAAAGCGAAAGGACGTCTTGTTCCAGTTGAAGGCTTTCCTGAAACCGAGTTTTCTGCCAGACATTAGGTATTTGATAGGATGTCTTTGCCTTAAACTTGCTCAGGATTTTGATGCGATGTACAGGAGACCCTTGAGGGTGAGTGGAACAGCTGTAGAACACTGGTTTGTGAGATGACCTGTAGGACAAGGCAGGCTTAGTATTAGGAGACACTGAGATTTTTCAGTTGAAAACTGCTGTTTTAAACAGAACTGGGGTTCCTCTGGAAAACCAGAGAAACAGTTAATGTGTTTGCACTTGTGTTCTTTTTCTTCAAGCTTACTATTTTAATATTCAGCTCTGCTCATAGGCGTAGTTAATGCTTTGTTACTTTACGGTAAGAATGGTGGATTTTAGATTGCTGTTTGCTTTAAAGAGCTTCGATGAAATTTATTCTATTGTTACTATAATTATAGAAAGGAAGTGGAGCCATTTTAAATACAGTAAAGACGAAGGCTAACCCTGCCATGAAGACTGTCTATAAGTTTGTAAGTATCAAGTACTGGCTTACTACTGAGATAAGAGTCTAATTATGATTCTGTTTTAACCTTTCAAATGAAACTCAAGACTTAAATTCATCTTTGTTGGACTCGCAAAATTACTTAAAATATGCATTCATCTAAATTTCAAATTTAAATGGAAAAGTCATTTTGAAATTTAAACATAATTGAAATGCAAAGGAGGAGGGGAACTTGTGATTTCTTTTGAAAGTGTAGTTGATAAATTCTATTTATTACATAGAACTATTTCTGGGAAGTGGTGCCTATATGCTCTACTAAGCAGCTCTACCATCTCATCATTACTCTGTTGGAAGTCTTTGTTACCTCAGGTTTCTCTGCTTGCAGCTTCGTCGAAGTAAGGGAATCCTCTCATTTTCCAAATTGTTTCCATCTTTTCTAAATGTCAATTAATTTTCCCTAGAGGTTTCTCATACCTGCTTATTTAGAGCCCAACTTACTGAGTTATTCTTTAAATGAAAATGTTTTCAGTTCCGTTAACAAACAGCTAGTGTGCTACTGTGTTATCACCTATGGCTGCCAGCTTCACTGTGCGAGATAAAACAACGTGGAAACAAGGAAGGATTTCTTAGGAGCTCCATTTTAGAAAATAGCCCTACAAAAAGCATTGAGAGAACTATTCAAGCTTTTGTTTTCTCCTGCCATCCTCCAGCCTGAGAGAGGAGTGGGATGAGATCAGCTCTACTACACGGGACTGGCACGCAGAGTACTGCAAGGAGAGAGTTTGCAGGCTCACTCCTGCTCTGGGTTGGTAGCTTAGAGCAAAAGTAAACGCATAGAAGGAAAGACCGAGGGTGCATGATGCAAAATGATGAAAGCTGGCGATGGCAACAGAGAAAACAAAACTTTGGCCACAATAGTTTTGGGAGGGGGGAGATGTGGTTTGTTTGGTTGGGGTTTTTTATCCATTTGTTTTAATATGTTTTCAGTATCCTCTTACGGTCTTTTCCTTGCCATTTTTAGTAACTAGATAACGTGAATTTTGATGCACTGAAATCAAGTGTTGTCACTACTGGATATAGGAGGGGATTTTAACTGAAATTAATTTTTCATGCAGGCAAAAGATCATGCAAAAATGGGAATAAAAGAAGTGAAAAACCGCTTGAAGCAAAAGGTACTTGAAGTTCTTATTCAGAATGTATAGGCACCGTGTATGAAATACTTAGCCACAAGAAGCATTATGTGATCAATAGGAAGCTGTTTGACACAGTGTTGTTAGTGCACTTCAAAATGCATTACCAGCTGTCCCGGATTTTTCACACTGTTATAAATATTCACAGACAAAAAAACTGTCTTCAAATACATTAAGGTTCTGACTTAAACCCACAAAAGCCAGAAAATTGAGTGTTCTGCTTGGAGTGGTCCCTCTCCTGTCCTTTGTGCTGAGGTGTTGTTGAAGGGGACTTGACGTGAACTGGGAGATCCTTTCCTGCAGTAGCAGCAGGGAACTTGTTGCGAATGGCAAATTGTTGTTATTCCCACAGTAGTGTCTGAGGGAAAGTAGTACAGCTGCTGCCGCTGGGAAAGGGATTTCTGTGTTTCATGAGCGGCTACTGCAAGGTTTAGGCATAAAGGAGTTAAAGTTGGTGTTCATTTCAAATTTGAATTATTGCAGAGAGAAATACTCATAGTGTTTGTTGTTTTCCAAATCTGTCTTTGTTTGTAAACAGCACCGTTCCAAGAACGCTGAATTGTGTTTGAAGAATGTGTTACCCAATGCTAATTGCTCCTTTTAAGCCAGAAGTGTGGCCGTGGTGATACGTACCTTATGAATGAACGGTTAACTCTGCCTTAGGTTTATGTCAGGCATTCTATTTATTCTATGAAGCAGAGCTATTAGAGACTTTTGGGAAAACAAGATAGTTCGCTTGCTAAGAACTGAAGTTCTTATTCAGAAATTTTTGTTCAATTTGTTGCGTACTAGTTTTAGGGGATTATTAATCAGTGCTATCTCAGTAAATTTCTTCTCTAAGTTTCTGGACCACCACTTTAAGATAGTGCTGCAAACGTATCCCTCTGGCACAAACAGAAATGTACCTGAACGTGTCAACAAAATGTTAGTACAACGGGATTACTGGGCAGCAAGGCTGTGAGCTGAAGAAGTGACCTGTGTGCAGTCCACGTGCTAGTCACTCTCTGAGTACCCGAGCAGATTGCTGGAATTTTTTGAGGTAGATAAAGTTGCTTCAGATGCTTTTAATGCTATTTTATTTTACTACGCCTACGACTTTATATATGACCACTTTAGGTGTAATGTGGAAACATCAGAAGCATGAAGCAGTTTTGTTGTGCGTGGAATTACTTTTTTTTGTAATCCCATGTATTTCACTTCTCAACATAATCTTCATGAATGATAAAAAGTTTGATCTTCTCGTGCATTTCGAAAGCATTTGGAGCTGTGTAAAATGACCAGATTGTTTCCCTGTGTTTTAAATGCTAATACAGTTGCATGCAATCCTGTGACATTTGTGCAAAAGGCTGCAAAACGTCTTGTTTATTCATTGCTTTGTTTTATTATTATTGTTGTTGTTCTTCTAGTCCTTGAAGCAGCAAGCGTTCTTTTTTAGAAAACACACATAACACCTACACGTAAACGGTCCAGTTTTGCTTCACCTTCCTTATTATGTGGCATTTCTGTAAGTAAAATGACTAAACATGATTGTTCAACATACGCTTTCACAAGAGCTTAAAAGATTTCTGTGGGTAGGTGACACTTACTGCTTTGCCTCTCCTTTCTTCATTAAGTCTGTTCTTTTCTCTCCCATCTTCTCCATTTTGAATGCAAGATAGGAAGATAACTCTAAAATGAGAGATTGCTCCGTTTAAAGGGATAAAAATAGCAAAAATTCATTTGGCCACCATCAGAGTATTTTTAATTTAAATGTCTGTGCTGCTCTGTTGACAAAGCTATTAGTGCATCCTCACCAATTTTCAGGTGAGAACACCATATTTCTCATGTGTTTACTTACTAGTATGTGCAAGTGTTAACTGTTTGAAATTCTGGGAGAATTAAATGCTTAATTTTTGCCATATTTGGGATTCCAGTCTTTCATCTTCTAAGGATAATCTAAGGTTGCTTTTAAACTGAACCTACTATCTGCTGTGTTTTAATGTATTATCTTCCATTATTAATACAAAAAGTGTGCAGGCCACTAGTAAGGAAGAGTCAAATATAAACACCCCTTTTCCAGTTTTCGCTGCCAAATATGAGCAGCTTCTGTACAATATAGAATTTAAAAATGCAATAAAGCTAGAGGTCTGCTTCCTACAACTCTGCATAGCAATGGTGACCTCTTAAATATAATCAAGAGCCCATTTTGCCCTTGGTCTGCTCCAGTCTGGGGTTTGAATTGCAAATGGGAAATGCAGGATTGACCTGTTGAGAGGTCACTGTGGTGTGTGTAAGGTCCTTCTTTAATATGATAGTAGAGATTGAATGGGGCTCTATTTCCATCCCTTGTTCATTTGTGGTACAGTATTTCAAAGCAACAGAAATAGTTTTCAGAGGATTCTTACGAGTGATAGCAAATAATTGTTAATAGAAACAGCATGGTAGCTTTATTTTACATCTGATACAGTAGGGGTTTTTCCTTTTTTCTTTTTTATTCTTTTTTTTTTCCTTTTTTCTTTCTTTTTTTTTTGATGCTGCTTTTTTCCATTTCACAAATGGACCATGGTGGTCAAGTTACTCTGTTATTGGTTCGTTTGAAGCTTAACTACATAGAATTAGGGAGAAGGAGGAATATGAATGGTACCATCCTCAACTTTCAGTAAGGAGAATGTAACTTACTGAAAGCTTCTGGATAAGACAATTTATATAAATGCTTGGGCACTTGGCGTTAATGTATTCAACATTATTTTACTTACCAGAGCCCTGTGGGGCTGTAGTTAACGTCTGTTATCAATGGGCTGTTACCCATTCTTTATTATCAGTACAGCTAGAAACAACTCATTTGCACGTTTATAAAATAACCTGAAGAATCCTTCTGGACATTCTGGAATGTTGTTTGGGCTCTTCTAAGGGATGATATTCGTAGTCCATTACACAAGGTCCCTAGAAAAATTACTGATGCGTATTTGAACAGCAGAAAACCTTACTCAGTTTACAAGGTAAACTTTACATATCTATACATATATATCTTACTCATTCCGTGGAGTTCTTCCTTTGGAACAAATAGGTAGTAAAGATATCACTTGAGCAGACAGTTGAAAAAAAAAGAACTGCTTATGTATGGAGATAATTATGGAGTGTGATAGATCACTGTCGTTCTCCTTTCCCAGTATTCTATAGAGTATCTCTTTTCCTCAGGCAAAAGGTGGTTTTATTTTTAATAATATCATTAAATTACACTTTGTTTTCATTAAAAGGTCACAGAAACATTGCTAGGTTTTTGCATTTCTGGAGGAGATATTGCAGTAAGGAGTAACTTGTCACTGTCCTGCATAATATATATGACTTAGGCTGCTTCAGGATTGTCTGGCTGGCTTCTGCCAAATCCTTTTTTGGGGAGATGTGTCAGAACTGAGGAGTCAGGACACATGTCCCCAGCCTGATGCGCTGCCGGGCAGAGCCAGGCTGGGCCAGGGAAGCACCGGCCCTGGTCTGGGCAGGAGGCAGCATTCACCGTTCCCGTCCCGGCGGGAGATCCTCGCCCAGGCTGGGTGAGCCCTGCCCCTGGAGCGGGCGCTGCTTCTCGAAGGCCTGCTGCAGTACGATCCGCTCACTTACAGTTCTCCAGCTGAAGAACCGCTTTTATCTCCAGACATTTTGTGAGCCTTGATACCTTCCTGATGCTGAGGTGCAGATTCGGAGAGTCCTGTTTTCTTATTTCTGGTTTTCTCGCTCTGTCCCTTGTACTCCCCATGGACTTGGCATAGCTATTGGCAGTCCGTTAGAGGACGGCAGGTGTGTCACAGGCTGCTTTGAAGGACTGCTCTCTGCTTCCCAGCCATAGAATTGCCAAACACTTCGGCATTTATTCATTTAAAGCTACTTGGAGCCCTTATTTGGGGGGGTTAAAATCACGTTTCTGTTTCTTCAGCTCAAATGTGCTTTCACTGAAGGTAGAAAGGAACTTGTGTGGAGCAAATTTTGCTTCGATGATTAAGCTGCGTCGTTGATTAGCCTGCGTTTTTAGGATTTTGAAAAATTAGCGAGGTATCAAATCATTTAATTCTCGTATTTTATTAAATAGATTTCTAAAAGCCTAATTTTGACCGAAATCTAATCCATACACCAAACACAGTGGAAATATGCTTTAGGATAGTGTTAACTTTTGTGTACAATTATCTCATCAGAGAAGTACAGCAAATCTATAGCAGTCAAAGCTGCAAGGATTTGCAGGGATCGTTACACATCTTGGGGGTTTTGCTTAATGGCTTGATCTGTCTGTATATTCATCTCCTCCCATTCCCTGATGGTCCGAACTTTTGTGTCCATTGTACATTTTCCTGGAGTTTTTGCCTGGACTGGCACATGCCGAGCTCTCCGTTGGCTGCCAGTTCTCTGTTCCTCGCTGGGATCCCAGCTCCAGGTGGAACTCGGAGAGCTCTGCAGTGCTGGCCCTGTCCGCTGCTCGCTGCAGGCCAGGTAGCTCTGAGTGTGCTGGACACCTGTAGGGCTTATACAGAAGTACAGAAACATGTCCATAAAATTTGCATTTAACGCCATCACACTTCAGAGGAGTGCGCGTTGCTGCCGTGCGTTACATGATCCCCAAAGCGACCAGAGCACTTGGCAGCGCGTTCCTGGTTTGGAACTGAAGCGCGGGTTTGACAGCAGCTCGCGTTTCTTGTCGTGGGGTTGTTTTGGGGCTCTTTGTTACTAATTCAGTGTACTTTGTTGTATTTTTTTAAAGGCAAGGTGGCATTGTGCAGCTGAAGGGCGGGGGGAGGAAAAAGTTTTTCTCTCTCTAGTTTGACCTTAACAAGTTGTTAATTTCCCCATGATCCTTATGCCCGTGCTGGTGAACCACTGCTCTACCAGCTGGATCTAAAAAGGTCTCTCAGCTTCTCTGTGGAGCAGACAAAGCCCCTTAGAAAGTCCGTCCAGCTTTTTGTTTCATTTGACCTAAACACATTAGGTCAGTCTGTGTCCAAAAGAACCATTTCTAATTGGCCATCAGCTTACATGTCTCATTATTGTACCTTAGCAAGACGGAAACTTGAGGGGGCATGTCAAAGGTCAGGGAATCAAAGCAATGTCTGTGTCAGCAGCCACCCTTAGGTCAGTCTTGCAGAGCTACAGTGTGTGCAGGTTTCTCTCTATATTTACCCAGCATTATTTCCTTGACATTGTTGCAAAGAGATGTAAGATTTGGGGCCCACTGAGTTACAGGCTATTTCTCAACTGACTTTCAAACTCTTTTCTCCATGTCTGATGCCTGATGTCTGCGTGCTTTTGTCTTTTTCAAACCCTGCCTCACGTACATACCACACAGACACTTGCCAAGTCTTCTAACCTAGGCTGCTGGGTCACTTTACTTCTGAAGATGAGGAGTAATGGCAAAAGCAAAAAAAAAAGGCAAAACAAAAAACATCTTGCTAGGCAGCGCTTTGTTTTACACAATCTCCCGAAGGCATTTTCAGGATACACGGTCTCAAAGGTGCAAAGCTAACTAAGCTCTGAGTTTCATCTCTCCTCGCCACTTCCACAGTTGTTCTGCTAACAGATAATTCTGTGAAGTACATAAATAAAACTGCTGTTTATATTGCAAAAAGCAGAATAATTCCTAGATTTCTGTTGCATTTGTGCCTGGAATAGAAAATTTGAGCTATGGTCTTGTTTTGTTGGGGATTTTCTCCCTCCCTATACATTTCCTGGCTTTTGCATGTTTAACTCAGACGTTTCATGGAGTAGGGAATGTGTCTGTTTGCGTGCAGCATTGGTATTAGGAGGAGAGAGTGGTTGTGTGCAAGCTCTGATTGACAAAGTGCAACAAAATGTTCTATTCTAATGATGTTTTCTTTTCTGTACCTTGGTTGTTTTTTTCCCCTAACATCAAAATTGTTAGTCAGCGTTATCCTCTAGTTGCTCCTTTGTGCCCCGTACCCTTAATCAAGAGTGTTCCTGGCCATGCTATTCACCTTTTCCTACCACACAGGACGTTGCTGAGAACGGGTGCTCGGCAGCTCCGGAGGAGTCTCTGCCAAGGACAGCACCTTCTCCATTGGTTGAGAAGAAGGACCCTAAATTAAGAGAAGACAGAAGACCAATCACAGTACATTTTGGTCAGGTACGTCTTAGCGTGAGGTTTCTTTAAATTGTGTGACTTAGCAAAAAGAGTTAAGAGAACAGTCGCAGTAACGAATATGCAAATTGTTCCATTATTTTTTGTAACTGAATTATCTTATAGGTTTATTTGTCGTATCTGTTTAAACGGGATTCTAAAACCTGATTTTTCTGGGCTTTACTGATTCCTTTTGTTCATACGATGATCTTGAGGAACATAAATTCTAAATGAATGAAGGAGAAACATAATGATTGTAGCAATTTTATAAAATATTTTTCTGTTTTGCATGCCAAATACCGTAGCCCTCAGGACTGAGATTGTATAATTTTAAATGTCCTCTGCTATCTATCAGATCGTTAGTGTCAGTATGGAACATCCAACTATTAAAGCATTTTTACATTCTCTGAGAATTAAATGCAATGAACTAAGATGGAAAAATCAATTAATAGCTTATTAGTGCACTGTGTATTTCAGCATTGACAACTGAGCTCTACGCATTAGCTACTCTTATCATATTTCTTTTGATTCGTCTGCAAAAGAGTGAGTTTGGTTATGTGGGATTTTTTAAGAGCTAGTTATTTAGAAAATGTTGTAGTTGCTGTGATTTTCATGGAAAAACATACAGTATTTATTATCAGTTTACCAGTGCTCCACTATTAAGCGTAGCCTGACTCAAAAAATAACATTATTTGTGTTCACAGTTCTCTTTTCTTTCTCTGTATCTATTTTTTGCAGTATTATGATCAGAAAACAGGACTGGATATCTGAGAAAGGATAGTGTTATTTTAAAACAATTGTAAAATACTGGAAATTATTAAATGTGAAGATTTTCAGATAGGTGTCTATTAATACAAACTAGTCAGTATAGCTGCATCAACTGCTCAGGGATTAGATAGGGCTACATGAAATTAATCACTGCTCAGAACAATATTGTCTGTGTCATTTAAGAATTAGATTTTTTTCCAAAACTTTCACCACTGTGCTGTAAGTAAGTTCTTGGAGATGTTTTTTTTTTTAAAAAAAACCAGACTCTCTTCCAATTAAATATTTGCAGTAGGGATTTATTTTTCACTTAGTTTCTGTGCCAATACAGTTGAAAAGAATTGAGGCTACTGGAGAAATGTAGCCATCTAGCTCTAGCAGAAAAACGTTACATTTCATTTAAAGCAGTCTGAAATCCAGACAATATTATAATCTACTTTCAGTGTTTTCCTTTAGACTGTTATGAAGGATGCATGGTTCAAACATTTTGGTAGATGAATGCAGTATATAATCGAGTGGAAAGTGCAGATTGAAATTCGTGAGGTTTGTTAATGGTCACTTTCAAATTTTTTAATGATCAGTTTCTCTGTGTCAAAAGCAACACGCGTCATCTTTACTGAACCACTGGCTGGTGAAGGGCTCGCTTGCTAAATGCTTATTACTGTCATTATGTTACAAACGGCCGTTTCCAAAAAATGATCTAACTTAGCAGTTGTAGGGCTACCTCACTTACAGCCTTTGTCCTCTGATGGGTCTTTTTTACCTGATAGCCCAGCGCCAAAACGAAAATTAAATCATACTTTCATTCAGAAAGAAAAGATGTTCACGTTTATGAAATATAAATTAAGGCTTTGGAGAGGAAAAAAGCAGCAACATTTAGTGTTTAAATGGGAGATGGCTTCTAAGTAGTGATTAAAGGGAGAGATTTTAGTGTCACTTTTAACTCTGTCGAGAATACAGTAGGTGGGAACAATTAAAAAGCCACAAGAACTCTGAAATAAGGGCTGTTTGTGCATTCACAGTTCTTATAAAGTGAAGAGGATGAAAGCGGCTTTTTTCTCATTGTCACTTGCTTTCTATGTCTGCTAGTATTATGGCAGCATATATGGCAAAGGCAGACTTTTTTAAAATGCATGCATGCGGATTAGGGTCAAGCCCCGTGTATCAGTAATGCAGTAAGGCTCGTCCATAGCGCTGCAGCGAGAGAGCCTCCCAACAGCAGCGAGAGGCTTTAATTGAGACATGCTGTCAAAGTGACAAACACATTTGCATACAGTCTATTTATTTTCGTTGGAAAGGTCTGCAGTCTGCTGTTGGTTGAACATTCTTAATCAGCTCGCTGTAAGTGAGCCGGCAGCTAGCTGTCCTGTGCTAGGTGCTTCTCTTCATTACATGACAGATTAGCTAAAGGGGGATGGGCTAGCAAGCCAGCACCAACCTTTTAATTTTAACTCATTATCTCTCGCCCTGTAGTGAGGTAGTTTCTGGCTCTTCCAAATACAGTTGTGTTTCTGCAGTTGTTAGGCTACAAAAAATAGCAGTAAAATATCTTGAAATGGCTTTGAATGTATAGTACCTCAGCTGATGGTTCAAAAATTTAGCGGCAATTATCCAACTGTGTGAGATTCCGTAATGTTGTAGCAAGAGGTTACCAGGCATTGTTTGAGAGGGTTGTTTATTATGGAATTGTTTTAACAGTGGTTTCTGTAATACTGAGACATTGGGGTAAAGCTCTCCTTGATCCTGAAAAGAAGGGTTTTACCCAGATAGCCTAGGACAATGCAATAAAGATATAAACAAAGTGTTCTTATCAAGAGTGCGCGAAGAGGCCAAAGTGGAAGGGCATGACCGCAGCTTTTTCTCCTGTTTGCCTTTGCATACGTTTTGGTTTACCTGTCATACCGACCCTTAGATCAACCAAAGAGAAGGAACTGCCATCATGGACTCTGAGGCAGTACAGCTGTACCCAACAAGTAGCCAGAGCCATACAGGCACCGCAGGTTTATGGAGTGGGGAGAAGAGGGAAGAATTTTCAAGCCAAGAAAGAGGTTCATATGGATGATAGGTAGTACTGACTAGTGCTCTCTGCTCTGGAGAAAAGTAACATTTGTTATAGTAGAAGATGCAGTGCTACAGAGGATGCCCTTCATGAATGTCTTATAATTGCTTGCTTTCCACCAGCCTTTTGTCTTAAAATCTGAAGAACCTACTTAGAACACGGGAACTGATGCTGCATTTGCAGCAGCCAGCATCCACCGCCACTGCCGTAGCTGTCCGTGGGATCCCACTGACCGATGGAGAGGGCAGAGTGGGACTGCCAGTACTCTTGCTGAGTTTTGAATGAGCAGCAAGCTTACTCAGTTATTACGTGAATTTATTTTTGCATTATCTAAAGTAAAGGAAATAAAACAAAACCTCTTTATGATGTAAAAATTTATGATTTTGCTGAGAGGGAAAGGTAGATTGATATCTGAATCTGACATTTTAGAAGCTTTTTCCCTCTGGAAGACAGGGCTTAACTATTAGGCCACTAGTACAGCAGCTGGGGTTTTGATAAACACCCAGAGCAGCTGCGTACCCAGCCAGGAGAAGGAGTGCTGTATGGCTTTTAGGTTTCTGAGACTTGGCTTAGATGAGCAGCCACATTGACAGGCCCCTTTATCTACTGCGGTTGTGTGTTCTGGTGTGTGTTCATACAGCTCTGTTAGAACCTGTACCATTGCACAGTCTGAGAGTGTGGGGATCACGTGGTCCAGCTGAATGTTGGGCAGTTGCAGCTCTCTTCTTGGGCAGTAAAGGGAGCGCTTTGTTTTCCAAAAATATTCTCGTTTTTGTAATACGTTCTGCTCCTAATGCAGCTTCTGCTTCTATCCACACTGCTTCCCACCCCTCCAGCCCTAATCAAGCCTTCGTGCTATTCCTCTGAAACATTCCGCTGACTCTTCTATGAGAGCCTCCTTGTTCACAGAGGATCGTTACCTGTGCCCAGTCTTCCCCTCAGTCTTTGAGAAGTTGGTAAGCACACAGCGGGGTGAGCCTAGAGTCTTGAAAAGCAGATCTATACTCAGGAACGTTCTTTCTCTGGAGCTTTTACACAGCCAGTAGCACAACTGTTGTAGTACCACTGATAAGCTGCCAGAAACATCATTTGCTGGGAAAAAGTATAATTTCTTTAGAAGCAAGTTATACCAGCGTTTCTGGTCAGGTCTCTAATTGTTTCTGTTATAATTAGAATGTCTTTTGTTGGCTTAGCTGTGTTTATGTTTCTATGGCTTATTTTTTTTTTACCAGCAAAGAGAAGATTTTATTCCATTTTTGTACCAAAAGGTAAAGCTTAAGAAAATACAAAAGACTCTTCCAAGTATTTCTTTACTTAAGAGATTTGATTGTATTCCATTCTTGATGTGAAACAGAGAGAATTAGTATTCTGGGGGCTGCTGTAAATAACTTTGAAGCAAGGGGAAAATATACTCATGAACTAAAGCAGCTTATCTGACTGTGAAAAGACTTGTCAAATTTCTTGTCCCACCTGATTCTTCCTGCTCTTAAATTTTGCAGACCATAGAAAGGAAATTGCCATCTTATTTGCTGGTTTGCTCATTTACTGTAAATGAATATGCTGGGTTTTATCATTCCTGATCTGCACTTGGACACGCACAAGGAACAAGTCTGCTTTGTGGCACAGGTTTCTTCTGCAAGAAGATTAAACAGCATTAAGAGGTCAGGGGGAAGATGGAGAGAAAACCAGCCAGCTACATTCCAGAAATGCAAAACTGGATTGCTGAGGCCAGGGGCAGCAGAGGGAGGGATTATCTCCAGGCTAAAGAGATGAAGTGGGGAAGGGAGGAAGGCTTCTTTGCCAGACCCTGTGACTCCCTTCACACCCAGGTGCATTGGAACAATAGCAGATTCCCCTGGTTCACAGCAGGCATTGAGTGGCACTGAGGTAGAAACCAAAGGGGAAAGGGGAAAACAAGTTCATTTTCTAATATTCATGCAACTGTATGCCCTGGTTGCAAAGGCAGCCTCCCGTTCTTGCCACTCTGGGCAGCTCTGACAATAGATACCTTCATTAAGGAAATGAGCTTCCGTTCCCCTCTTCCCCACTGATGAGCAACATGGTCTCCCTGTTCTTTTCTGCTGAGCCACATGGAGTTTCTTCCTTCTCTCCATTTGATTCTTTATGGATCTAGCAAAAGTATGAGCCTAGTTCTTGAAAATTATTTTGTCTTCAGAAAACA